AAGCTAACATTATTGCTTGTTTTGAATTCCAAATTTAATTTTCAACAAGGCCAAGCTAAGCACCATGTTTTGTCTCATTTTGGGTTTTATTTTTTATGTTAAGTTGTCACTGCCAACGACTTACGCTTTAAATAGAAAGAATTTTGATTTTTCTTTAGTAAGATGTTGATTTACTAAAGCAGATTTTAATAAGGTTTCGACTTTACTTATGTTTTGTGATTGAGACAATAAATTTGATAATTTTAACATACATCTATCTTGCTATAGTGGAGGCTACTATTGATGATGACATTGTTTTTGTGTTACTTTCTTCTCTAATTTCAAGAATATGCATTTATCGGGACAATTACCAGTCAAGTTGGCCAGACAATTGACTTGGTAACAATAATGTCTTAAATTTGACTCTTCGTGATAATGATTGCAAGCTTTTCCATAAATCAAAGAATATGCATTTATGTAATTTCAACTTAAAACGTTCATAGTTTAGGTTTAAATAGTTGGAGCCAAGTGGTTGGTTAAGGTATTGAGGCAACCTTAAACTACCAAATGGAATTTGATAGCAAGTAACTCAATTCTGAGTCACCAAATTTCATTTTTAGTCATCAATGATATGAGCTTAATTGTACATGTTTCTGGTGTTCATTTGAATATATTTGTTGAGATTAAGTTCATGAATTTGATACTTTAATTGCATATTCTCTTGTTTATTATTTAAATATGGTTTACACTTGTTTTGAATGTTTTACGGTGTTTGTTAGTGTTTTGGAACCATTGTAGGCCAAGTGCAACGGCAAAGGGAAGTGCTAGGTCAAGTTCGGGGTCAAAACGAGGTGCCGGTTCGAGTTTAGAGAACTCGACACGTCGAAAAAATATAGTAGCATTCGTGTTCGAGCCCAGAAGACTCGACGCGTCGAAAAGTGCAGCCGAAGAGTCCAGTTTTCCGACGTCAGACTCGACGCTTCGAGAAAAAACAATAAGGTTCGGGTTGTCGCGGATGAAGGCTCGACGCGTCGAGTTGCGTTTTCAGCAACTTCCAAAATTCGCCGAAAAATTCCTAATTTGCTCCCGCTATAAAATCCCGCCTTTCATCAACCCTAGAGGTTCCATGCTGTGTTTTGGAGACAAGAAAGAGGAGAATCAAGAGTTACAAGTTGTTTTTGGAAGCAAGAAGAAAGCTAAGGAGATTTGGGAAAATCACTTGGTTTATTCTTGTACTCTCTTTGATTATTTGTAAACTATTTATTATAATTGCTATGAATAATTTAGCCATGCTTGGCTAAATTTTCTTAGAGATTCTTGGGTAAAAAGTGTTTATGAACTTACGTGCCTAGTTCTATAATTCTTTAATGTATTATTATTTGGGCTTTATACCTGTGTTGCAATTGTGATTATATTATTGGTGCTAGTAGTTCAGGGCCCGAATTACTTGTTTCATAGCTATCCTTATGTCATAACGGAAGTTAGGCATATTTTGGGCACTCACAATTGCACTTAACTGTTGCACCTTGGGAAATGGCTTATTTGTTAAGGAATTTAATTCTTGGTTATTGCACATCGGGAGATGGTAGTAGTTAGGAATTTATTATGAATGTTTGTTCTTATATTGTTTGGTGTTTATATCACAGGAGTGAATATTCACTTAGGTTAGAGATTACGGGAGTAACTCTTTCCCCTATTTGCATTCTCACACTTGTTTAAACCCAGATTTAATATTGCATATTAGTTTGACACTAGGTGATTAAACACTTGAATCCCATGAATCTCATTCTCTCCCTACTGTTTTCACAAACCCGCATACTTTGCTTTCTTTTAATATTATAATCAATCATCCATGATAATCATTAGGATTAGCTTCATAAAAATAAATTAGTAGCTAGTGCTTGATACGCCCCACTTCCATGTGGATCGATAACTCGTTACTCCGAGTAATTATTTATTTAAAAATATACTGCAATCAATCAACTATTGTAACATCGACATATTTAGTCATATTTTTAAAATTTTGACTCATTATTTTCTTGACTTTTTTTTTTTTGGGTCATAATTAGTCATCTATTCTAATTTATGTCATTCTACCATTTAATAAAGAGAGCTAACATATAATTTTAGCATACAATTAAAAAGTTTATGAGAAAGGAGATAAATTACATGTTGGAACGTAACAAAAAATTCGAATGATGAAATTGCACATATTAGTCTTCTTTGTTAAATGTGAAATTACAAAAAATTAAATGGCCATGTAAAGTCAAGGATGTAGATACACTAGTGTACAAATATATATTAAAAAAATTAAAAATCAGACGCCAAGCGTCTTTTTCAACACTGAATACACTAGTGTACAAATATTTGAGGGACTATAGATCAGTTAAAACACATTTCATGATTTATCTTATCCATTCGTTTCCAAACTCGAGGACAAGAGGATTGAGGAGTCGTTACATTTGGGGGTAAAATTTATTAATCTTATTACCCATCTCTAAAATTTTTGACCAAAATTGATGAAATAATTAACACTAGTTTTGTTCTAAATTTGTTGTTTTGGTCTATTAATTATAAATTCACCTTCTAATGAAACTGCACACACACACACACACACACACACACACACACACACACACACACACACACACACACATATATATATATATATATATATATATATATATATATATATATATATATATATATATGCGACGCCTTGTTCCCATGCGGATTGCACTATTAGATATGCATAAATGCAACACAAAATGTTCAGAAATGTATCAGGGTGAAATCCATCACAATCTTGGGACATGCAGTCATGCACTATTATGTATGCATAAATGCACCACAGCGTGTTCAGAATGCACCAGGTGAAATGCACCATAACTTAGTGCATTTTTGAATACGTTGTGGTGCATTCTTACATACTTAATGAAGATTTCGATGATCAAAGTACTTATAAAGTTTTCGTATTATAATGTTTTGTTCAATTTAGTCATTATATCTTTATTATGATCAATTTAGTCCTTCTACTTTAAAAAATGGTGAAATTAATGACAATATTTAACCGTACTTTAAAATTAATTAGTTTTACCATGTAATTGTTTAATTGATATTAAAGTCATCTTACTGAAGCACCTTCCTTCACTAAAGCTCAAACCCACATCTCCCATATAAAAAAGTAACTTGATATCACTAGACCACAAAGTAATTGGTTACCATAACTATATTTAATATTAATCTTTTACCATAGTGTATCAAATTCTACTCTTTCTAATATAGAAATAATGTTCCCAACATAAATGGAAAAATGTATTACCCAAGTTATCAACTATATTTGTTAATATAATATGAATTTTGCTACTCCGTATTTAAAATAAAATAAAATTGTATACTATTATTTTGTAAAAATTATATCAATATAACTATGATTTTGGCACTAAACATTAATATTTGACGATTATTTTCGTACATCATGGTAGAAAGGAAGTATACTAAATACAAATTAATGCATATATACAAAATGCTAATAAACATTATAGGTTTTTTCGTTCCTATATTTTTACAAAATAACGATTTTAGTGTCTTAATTGTTAATGTAAACATTGTTTGTCTTTCAAATTTTTACTAGGTAATAGTTTTGGTTCTTCTTTGAGTTCTTTTCCACGAGATGACAATTTTGACGATTTTGTTTCATTGATTTTTAATGTAGACTTTAATAATTACAAATTACAATTTACATTTCGCTCGAAACATATAATGTAAAGATAATATCCTAATAGACTTTAACCGACTATACTAGTAAGAGACCAAAACTGCTACTTAGCAAAGAATTAGAATACTAATATGGAGTAAATTTTTTTGTTTGATGACATTTTTTTAACCAGTTAAATAAAATCATGCATTGAGATTAATTTTATTAGTATTTAAATAATACAATATTTGTTTTTATTTTTTAGTACTACTAACTCTGTTATAATGTAGTATATATTCATAACTACTTTCTCAATCTACTATAGCATAAAGAGTTAATACTACCATCATTGGAGATAACTCATGAACTCTTTAGATTCATTGGCTCTTATTAAATTTTAGAGTTAATGTTCAAATTTATATATAAAAAAAATCTATGTGATAATTAGAATTGTAGTATCAAATTTTTATTAGATTTAAGTGTAATATTAATAATTAGAATTACGGATTGGGTATTACCCGCACCCGCAAAATTTCCACGGGAGCGGGTATGGGGTAGGAATTTCATTACCCGCGTGGGTGCCGGTGCGGGTGTGGGAAATGGATTGGGAATGCGGGTGCGGGGGCGGGGGATATATCCCTCGCACCCACCTCGCACCCACCCCGCCCCGTTGTCATCTCTAAGTGTGGTTGGCAGAATTTGGTCATTTTTTCAGATTGTCAGTTGTTTGCTCGTCTTTACTATCTTATGCTCCGAATAATTCCTATGTTGGCTGTGTTATATTGTTGTGATCTTAAACGACAATTTGATAATGTGTCGTTTTGTTTAATTCATAGATCAGCGAATAAGCTTGCTCATGCTCTGGCAAGAGAAGCTTCTTCATAGTCTGATCCTCGTTTTTTGTTTTCAATCTATCCTACTTGTATTCAACACTTAATTTTTAATCATTAATATACTACCATCTTTACCTTTCAATTTTTTATTTTTTTTATAGAATATTCAAATCTTTAATCCATAAAACAAAAAATAAAATAAAAAAATCAAAGAAAGCTTTATTTATTCCTTTCAACCCCCATGGTATTTTTCTCGGGCGGTCCAATGATGACATGTCCTTAAGGGCCTCTTTGGCTACAAAAAATAATGTTTCTAAAACAGGCAAACAGATAAACCGAACAATATTTTCCTATTCCTATTATTAATATAAATTCTTTTTGTTTTCAAAATATAATTTATTATTATATATATATATATATATATATATATATATATATATATATATATATATATATATATATATATATATAATCCTTTTCTCTCTCTAACTCTCTCTCCTCAAGCTTCTTGCGTTTATTGTTATTATATTCCTATATGCATACAACCATCTTCATCATTCAAAGTTGACAGTCCTATAGATATATAGAGAGAGAAAACATTGACTTATATAGAGAGAGAAACAGTGTTTTTTTTTATTATTAAAATATGAAAGGGGAATTCGTAGATCATCATCATCAAGAAAACAAGAATAGTGGCAATATGTTTACTAAGATCCATCATTCTCACCACCCTTACCACCACCCTCCGCCGCCGCCGCCGCCGAATCTCACTTTTCACCAGCCTTTGACGGTTGCCGCCGCCGCCGATGAGACGAACGACCGGAGCCCTGCTTCGCCGTCCGGCGGTGATAGGAAGGAGGCAATTGCTCCGCAACCGGTTTCGGCTCTGCCGGCGGCGGCGGCGGGTGGAGGAGGCAACGACGGCGCCAGCATCGAGGTGATCCGGCGCCCGCGCGGGCGGCCGCCGGGGTCGAAGAACAAGCCGAAGCCGCCGGTGATCATAACGCGGGACTCCGAGCCGTCGATGAGCCCGTATATTCTGGAGGTCCCCGCCGGGGTGGATTTGGTGGATTCCGTGACCCGGTTCTGCCGGAAACACAATACGGGTCTCTGCGTGTTAAACGGGTCGGGTACCGTCTCCAACGTCACTTTCCGGCAACCCTCCACCGCGCCCTGCCCCACCGTCACGTTCCACGGCCGCTTCGATATCCTCTCGATTTCCGCCACCATCGTGCCACCGAACGCCAGCTTCATGTACAATGGGACGGCCAGCGCCTTCACCATCTCCCTCGCCGGACCTCAAGGCGCCGTGGTGGGTGGCGCCGTGGTGGGGCCCCTACTATCCGCCGGAACCGTTCACTTAATCTCCGCCACCTTCAACAACCCATCTTATTACAGGTTCCCGACGGAGGACGAGACCAGAAATTCCGGCGGCGGGGGAAGTGAAGGGCGTCACCCGTCACCGCAGACGGCAGTTTCCGGTGGAGGAGAAGGCAGTGCCGCCGCGCCGGAGCCCTTGTATAGCGGCCATTTACCTTCTGATGTGATCTGGGCTCCGACTGCTAGACAGCCACCGCCATACTAAATCATTCTAGAATTTCCTTTTGTTTAATATCAATATTCAAATCTTATTTTAGTTTGACTTATATTAGATTATTTTTCCTAATTTTTATTTACCACTTTTGGTTTTTTGTGTAGTTTATTACTATATTCTAATTATATAGTATTTTAATCATATAGTTAATGTGCTGCTTCCTATGATTTTTGGTCACGTTGTTTGTCTTAGCAGAGAGAAAGGCAATGCAAAGAAGAATGTAGTTTTATTAGCCTTATTTTAATTCTTACCAATCTTCATGTTTATGTCGTGTTACTAGCTAAATAAGTTTTTATTTTTTTTAATATCCTATATGATCTCTCACCAAAATGAGACTCGATTCGATTTGAACCGAACTTATAAAATTTTACTCTAAGATAGCAAGAATTTTGAGACTAAATGCTCGCTTGTGAATTGTGATGAATTTAAGAATGTATGTTAGTTGTTTAATTGTATAATGAATCTAAATTTTCTCTGACTTGCATATGATCATTGAGTGATATGAATTAATTGATTTCACCAATTTGTAATGAATTTTTAAAATATCTCATCAATGACGACTTATTTCACCTAGGCGTCTGTGTATTTATTTTATTTTATTTTTTATTTTTTAAAAATTTATTTAAATTTATTTAATTTTTTAAAATTTGATAATTATAAATTATGTAATACTTTAATAGTTAATAAAAATTAAGTATTAACCTAAAAAACATCTAGATTTTGAATAATTTAGGGTTATTTCGCTCAAAAACGATGTCGTTTTAAGTGAAATAAACTATTTAAAAAAGAAGGGAACAATAGTTGCCGATTAATCGATGTTTAGACAGAATTTCAAAATACTTATACCTTAATTATGACAATGCAGTATTTGTAACGCTCGAACCCATGACTCATAATCTCCATAACCATTTCATGCCACTAGACCACAAAATTATTGGTAATATTTCATTGTATCTAGTACAAAAGAAACCAATATTGATCCACGTCTTAAAATAAGCTCAAAATATAAATTATTTAGGGTGTGTTTGGTTGATGGATTTTGCACATAGGAATGTATATGAAAGTGATTGTTATTGTTGGCAATTTATATCGTGTACCACGCCGCACATAGCAATGTGCACCCCGACACAAAACGCGCGTGTTTCATACTGACGTCATGCTGATGTCACTACGTCCATCCAAACAGACCAAACTTCATTATGTGTATTCAGTTAAAATTTTATGTGTATTGTGTTATGAGTTTATGTGTATTCAGTTAGGAGTTTATGTGTATTATGTTAACCAAACCCATTATGTGTATTCAGTTAAAAGTTATGTGTATTGTGTTATGAGTTTATGTGTATTATGTGTTATGTTAGATTATGTGTATTCTATTATGAGTTTATGTGCATTCGAAACAGAGGATTTTTTTTAACTTAACAAAACGACGTCGTTTTGGGATGCGCGGGGCGCACAGTGCTATGTGCGCCCTGGTGCACGATATAACAATTGGGTATTGTTTAGTTGATAGGTTTTTAGAACACTATTATGGGTTTTGAATACCCCCATCAATTGAAAAACTCATACCCAAATAAAATAAAGATTTCATTCCCTTATTCATTCTCAAGCACTACTATTAGTAACCATTCTCATTCCACCCTACTACCAAACATGTTAAATACTTTCATCAAAATGCATTACTATTACTAAGTATTTGATATCCATTGCGATTTTGATTCCCATTTGCGAACCATACACACCCTTAAAGTGCATATAAACGGACATTTTTTTCATTGGGTTTGAACCCTACTATCATATTCAAATACAATTATTTTGTTTGTATAACTTCTTCTTTTTTTTTTTTTTTTTTGTGTGTGTGTTTTGAAATGAGATTCAAATTAAGAAAGAATTAAAAGAAAATGTAATTCTATAATGAAATTCTACTTTTGTTTTTTTGTAATGGAGAATGCTGAAGAGGAAATTCTTTTTTTTTTTTTTTTAAATAACTGTCATTTTCAAGTCTCTCACACAAACACAATTAAAATATATAAATTTTGATTCCAATTCTATTTCTAATTCTAATTGTTGTTTGGCCCAGAGCAAAGAGCCAAAGAGTCTACTTTAAAACTCATTTCTGATGCTCCAACCAAACACCTCCAAGGTTTTGTTGTGGGAATTGAAAGGGGCAGAATGGAATGGAACAGGGTTTTGGGGTTGGTTTTGAGAGGCTCAATATAATGCATTGCATGCTGGACTGGAATGGCAGACCTGCTCTCATCTGCACATCTTGATGCTGCATGCCATAGCTTTTCAGGATTCTTGCTCAATCTTGATGCAGGGCCGATTGAATTCTATTACGTGTACTTTCAAATTTTACTATATTCAGTATATAGGAATTAAGCGGATTGAGCCGGACCCATATATATATATGAGTGCTTTTATATTTATAAATGATTAAAATTGCATATAAATATAATGCTTATAATCATGGATGTTTAATCATCATCTTTACCATTAATAAAAGAATACATTCACCCATGTAGACGTAGACACATTGTCAAACCACATTGATAGTGTAAATACTTTCGGGTATAGGTATTGGGATACAAATTATAAAATACTTAGGGGGCGTTTGATTCGGGTTATATAAGATAACCAAGATTATATTTGCTTGGTAATATAAGATTCTCATGTTTGGTTCAGGTTATGTAACTTTTCCAGGGAATGTCAGGTAACCTCTGCATTAAGTTCTTAACTATTGGAAGGGAATGTGAGATACCCTCCAATTTCTTAAGTAATCTCACATTCCCTTGTCTTATTACTAATGTTGGGCTTTGTATTTTTTAATCAATTTATCTTATTACCGTTGTCATATTTACATATCTTAGTTTTAAACCAAACACATGAATCTAAAATTCCCAGTAATCTAACATTCTCACCAATCTAACATTCTCTAAGGTAATCTAACATTCCGTAACCAAACGCCCCCAGGGTACAGTAGCTCGGGTAGATAAGACCGAGGGTCGGATATTCCCGAGCATTTAAGTATCCTAGAGAGAGAATAGTAAAAGTCTCTTTTACAGGGCATCAAATGCGGTATTTATAGGGGCGAGAAGGGGACACATGTCGGGCTCCCGGCATGACTGACACGTGTTGCACATGCAATCAATTGGCTCGGAAATGACACCCTGATAGCCAGGTGTACTAATATTCCTGACCATCCACTAAGGGATGTGGTTGGGTTGAAGATACGAAACTGAATCCTAATCTTCCAAGTAATCCTGCTCAAGACGACGATCCTAACTAAACAGGTCAGGGTTGGTCCCTAGGTACCGCATTGCTACAACAACATTACTTTAGATCGGTCAACGCTCTAAGGTCGGGGATACCGGGCTTGTGGTCGGTCAAGGTCGGGATGGACCCCTTTCGATGAGCTTACCGAATACCGAGCAGGTATACAGAACATACAGGTAGATACACCCGTTCACACATAAATCTTGCATTCTTTATTGAAAAATACTATGTGTAGAGTGTACTCTTATTTTTACTCCCAACTTTTATTCCACACAAAATCTTGATGTAAACACTTGTATTGAGATTCACATGAAAAAAGTAACTTATCAGTATCCGTCGGACTAAAATTTAAGAGTCCATGTAGTAGAACTCTTCTTTATTTTTTACCGTTATTATTTCTTGTTTTTATTAATCTCAATATACTCCTTGACGACGTGACAATCTCAAGATGAACTATGAACTATTTTTCATCATTTGAATTTCTAAAAAAGTGTTTTACTTCAAGAATTTGAGAATAAGAATTGGAATTAAGAGTTAAACGTAATATTTTCCGGGCAGATATATGTTCCCAAAAAAGTGCAGTGGGAAACGTGGCTAGGGTTAATCCTACCCAGTACCCGGCTATATATGTACCTAAGCTACTAACTATGCCAAAGTACCAAACTTCAACTCACTTTTCTAGTTTTCTTGCAGCCTGCAGATGCCATCACTACACCTTTCTTTCTTTCTTTCTTTCATTTATCTGAATGAATGAATGAATGTATGAGTGTTTGCTTTTATCCAATATGATGAAACCCAGGCCAGTTTGCTTTCATGCCTGCAGCTTCCTCCTCTTCTCTCTCTACTTTATCTCCACCCATTTTCTCTCTCATCTTATCACATCTGCTGCTATCTGTACTTTGCTTTGTCTCTTTACTTTGGGTTTTGAGTTGATGAGGGTGGTAGGGCGTGGGGTCTTTGGTCTTTATGTACAACACAACAATATCATATCATTTAAAAAATAAAAAATAAAAAATAAAAAAGAGTCAAATAGACCACTGAACTGTACAAGAGAATGCAATTAGGTCACTGAACCTAGAAAACCATAATTAGGTCCCTAAACTATCCAATTTCATTCAATTTGTTCATTTTTCAGGTTTCTCAAGTTACTAACTGGTTACCCATCCACCTAAGTTATCCCTCCACCTCGGATGCATATGTGACATTTTAAAAAATAATAATAATTTATTTTTAAATTAGTTTTTTAATGTTTAATAAATAAAAACTAAAATAATTTATTTTTAAATTAGTTTTTAAATGTTTAATAATCAAAACTAAAATAATTTGTTTTTTTTTTGAAAATAAAATCCAAGCGCCTATACAACACAATAATATCATATCATCATTCACAAAAACTTGTATAATTCTGTTTACGGATCTTTATTTGTGAAATGGATTAAGTCAATATTTAAATATAATAGTTATATTGAAAAATGTATTATTAATAAGGAATAAAATATTTATCACTTATAACTTGAAAGGTGTGGTTGAGTGGAAGGAAATAGAATAATCTTAAATTTCTAAGCCAGTAGAGAATTAATCATTGTGTACCAAAAAAATATATTTATTACTTATAAGAAAAATGTAATATTTTAACAATATAACAACTATGTTTTGTCACATACTCGTATAGGGGTATAAGGCCAGGCTTTAATGACACCCTTTTTAGAACTTCTCGGATGCACAAAAAATCCTATTGTATGGGCAACCGGTATGACTTGTTCAAAAATTACTCTCTTCATATCTTATACATTTATACCTCAAACTAATTTCTATTTAATTTATTATAAGAAAATAACTAACAGTTATATTTAGACATTATGTAAAAA